AAAATTTCACTTTAAAATTAAATCAGAAATCAATAAAAATCCTATGAAATCCTTAAAAGTGCTCTAAAGTAACTCTCAGAATTGCTGCAAAATTTCTCAGTATTTTCACATCCTCCTATATGTTTTTTTTTAACATCGACATCCAAAATAATGTTTTGTTTCTCATATTTTACTGTCTTATGTTAATTATTAATAGGGACAAGATATTTTTCATGTTTTTATTACAACTAAACAATATTTGCATAGATTAAATCAATCTTTTGTTTGCCTAGCCTGAGTACTTCACTTAAACTAATGTTTTTATGAGATTTAAAAACAGTTCCAAACATGGAGGCAAGAGCTCCAAGCCTTAATAGGTTAGAAAGGTAGTAAGTGATGGGCCTTATAGGAGTTAAAATCACTAACCTTGAACAGCTTATAAGTTTGATTTCTGTGAATTGACTGAAGCACCATCTAACACACAAGTATCCCTAAAGAGTTGAACTTGGCTATAATCAAGCCGCTAGAGCCAAATTCAGTTTACAGAGAATAAAAGAACAAGTTAAATGAATGTGAGAAGGAAGCAATTGACAAATTCAGAATGTTGGACATTTCTGCTGTATAATTGATCCAGTTTCCGCAACAAGTAAATGGCAGGGAAAAAACGAAGGGAAGGCTGGCCCAGTTTAAAAGAGACAAAAAGAGAAAACATAGCTGAATTCAATGTATGCTGGATCCTTATTCTCAAAATCAACTGTCAAAATACATTATAGAGACAATCAGGAAAATTGTAATTTATTTATTTATATTATTATTATATTTTTGAGACGGTGTGTCACTCTGTCACCAGGCTGGAGTGCAGTGGCACGATCTCAGCTCACTACAACCTCTGCCTCCTGGGTTCAAGCAATTCTCCTGTTTTGTATTTTTAGTAAAGACGGGGTTTCACCATGTGGGCCAGGATGGTCTCGATCTCTTGACCTCATGATCCACCTGCCTCAGCCTCCCAAAGTGCTGGGATTACAGGCATGAACCACCACGCCCAGCCAGGAAAACTTTATTATGGAGTTGCTAATTACATGATGCCAAAGGATAGTTATTAATTCTGTTAGGTGTAATCGGGGCAATGTGGCTATGTAAGAATATGTTCATATTTTTTGAGATGCACAATAAGATATGTAAATGAAATAATATGACATCTGGGCTTAAAATATTTTGCACAAGAAAAAGACAAGAGAGATGTGAGTCAAATGTGGTAAAATTTTGATAAATGTTGAATATGGGTGACAGGTAAGTGGGAGTTCATTGGTGTGTGTTTTAAAATAGTCACAATAAAATTTGTAAAAGGCAAAGGCAAAAACGGATTGACATATCCTTATTGAAAGTAAATAAAAATGATTTTTAAAAATATTGGCAGGGGCAGGTTGCGGTGGCTCATGCCTGTAATCACAGCACTTTGGGAGGCCGAGGCAGGCGGATCACTTGAGGTCAGGAGTTCAAGATCAGCCTGGCCAACATGGTGAAACCACAACTCTACTAAAAATACAAAAAAAAATCAGCCAGGCATGGAGGTGTGCCCCCGTAATTCCAGCTACTCGGGAGGCTGAGGCATGAGTATCACTTGAACCCTAGCAGAAGAGATTGCAGTGAGCTGAGATCATGCCACTTCGCTCCAGTCTGGGCAACAGAGGGAGAGTGTCTCAAAAAAAAAAAAAATTTGATGGGCTTTAAATACATATACATTGTTCATAGTACACACAATCCTCTAAAGCTTGTGGCATTAATAAGATACATCTGCTTGTATCTTTTACCTGCTAATTCTGCTCTCTATAAATATACCACAAGATAATAAGAGAACAAGAAAAATAATTTATGCAAAGTATTCACATAAATTTGTACAGTGAAAATTAAGAAATTATAAAATACAGGAGGCTGTGAAGCTAAGTATTATATGTCAATATAATGAAAGACAGAAATCCATCAAAGGTGGCAAGAATTTGAACTATGTAAATACATAAAACTAAGCAGATACCCTGGCATCAGTTATAAGAAATTTTAAGTATTAAGACTCTTGCACAGTCCCAAATGACAGAAAACCCAACCCAAACTGGCTAAGGAAAAGAGGAAATTTATTGGCTGATTAAAATTAAAAGTTTAAAAGGCACAAAAATCTCTCCAGAATGGATTATAGACCTAAATGAAAACATAACATTGTAAAATGTCTAAAAGAAAACACAGGATAAAAATCTAAGTGACCTTGTTTTTTGGTGATCGGTTCTAAAATGTAGTATCAAAAGCAAAATCCATAAAAGAAAAAACATGTTTAGTTGTACTTTATTAAAAGTTTCTTCTCTGTGAAAGACTATGTTAAGAGAATGAAAAGACAAGTGATAGACTGTAAGAAAAATTTTTTGTGAAACACTTATAAAACATTTGTATCCAAAATATATACAAAACTTGGGCTGGGCGCAGTTGTTCATGCCTGTAATCCCAGCAATTTGGAAGGCCGCGGTGAGAAGATTGCTTGAGCTCAGGAATTCGATACCAGCCTGGGCAACATAGTGAGATCTTGTCTCTAAAATACACACACTCTCTCTCTTAAAACTCAACAATAAGAAAAAAAAATTATAAAATAGGCAAATATAAACAGATACTTCACTAACAAATATATACAGATGGCAAGTAAGTATATGAAAACATACTTATCTTTGGTGATTAGGAAATTATGAACTAAAACAAACTATGATACAATTACACACCTGCTAGAATGGCAAAAAGTAAACAGACAATACCAAAGGCTGACAAGGACACGAAGCAACAGGGACTCTGATTCATCGCTGATGGAAATTTTTATTAAATAGTATAGCTAGTTTAGAAGACAGCTTGGCTTAACATAGGATCCAGCAATTACTCTCCTAGGCATTTCTCAAATAGATTTGAAAACATCTCCACGCAAAAGCCTGCACTTAAATGTATATAGAAGCATTTCTCACAATGGCCAAAAATTGGAAGCCACTAAGATGCCTTTCAATAGGTGAATGGATGAAAAAAATGTGACACAACCACACTGTGAAATATTATTCAGTGATATAAAGAAATAAGCTATCAAATCATGAAATGATATGGAGAAACTTTAAATGATATTGATAAGGCAAAGAAGCCAATCTGAAAAGACTACATACTGTATAACTCCAGCTTTATGACATTCAAGAAAAGGCAAAACTGTAGGACAGTGAAAAGATCAGTGGTTGCCAGAAGCTGGGGGGGAAAGAGAGGAGGGGGGAATGAACAGGTGATGCCCAGGGGATTTTTCAAGTGGTGAAACTATTCTGTATGGTGCTACAATGGTGAATGCATGGTCTTACTAATTTGTCAAGGCCCCCATATGCTTAATAGCGTAAAGAGCAAAGCTTAATGAATGCAAATTTTTAAAAAAATTATTTAGGAGATCATGGGATTTCAGGAAGGAATTCAGACTGTGACAAGAAATCTAACTATATTACAAGTGCATAAAACAACCTTACCGAAGAGGCTAGAGAGAAAATGTGAGGGCCTAATTAACTTTGGAAATGAATGGAGTTTGTAAGAATAAAGGCAAAAGAATTGCAGATAAGCAGTGCACTCTAGTTGACAAAGTTCTTCTCACAGGAGTAAAAAAGGGGTAACAGTGAGGAAAGAGATGGTTTTCCCAAAGCCGGATGAGTCACAAGAAAGGGAGTGGATGAGATGGATGATGAGCAACGCAAATCATAAATGCCCACCATAAATAATGCATTTGATTATTTTTCTGTAACATTGTAAAATATGCTCACAATTTGGAAAAAAAAAAAAAATAGGCCAGGCACAGTGGCTCACCCCTGTAATCCCAACACTTTGGGAGGTCAAGGTAGGCAAATCACTTGAGGTTAGGAGTTTGAGACCAGCCTGGCCAACATGGTGAAATGCCATTTCTACTATAAATACATACACACACACACAAACACACACACACACACACACAAAACCAGGCATGGTGGTGCCTGCCTATAGTCTGAGCTACTCAGGAGGCTAAGACAGGAAAATCACTTGAACCTGGAAGGTGGAGGGTGCAAAGAGCCAAGGTCATGCCACTGTACCCCAGCCTGGGCAGCAAACAAGACTGTCTCAATAAATAAATAAATTGGAAAAAAAGGAAATAAGCTGAAGTTTAGTTTATGTCTTATAGACTTATCACAACTAGTCATATTCTATTTTTTAGATTTTATTATAATTTTGCACACAATGTCCAAAATATTTAAAGTTGAAGGAACAAAACACAAACCAATAACTTTACTAGGTTTAATGCTTATCTTGCTCAAATTTTTATCAATCAAATATGTCATTTATAATGTTATGAGAAATTTAAATCAGTAATAATAAAAATTTGATGAAAATTATGTTTTTTATTACATCGAAGAAGTTTCTCTTGCACAAACCATAAAACCTATGCTAATAAAAATACTCCTTTGTGAAAGTTACCTCAAATACAGGGACAACTGCTGTGTTAAAGACATGCTTATGGCGACAAGATATCGATGATCAAACGGAGTGGGCATAATGAGATAGCAGTATCATGTAAATTAAACATAGGTGGGCCAGGTATGTGGCTTACACCTGTAATCCCAGCACTTTCAGAGGCCAAAGTGAGTAGATCACCTGAGGTCAGGAGTTCAAGACTAGCCTAGCCAACATATTGAAACCCCCGTCTCTACAAAAATGCAAAAATTAGCTGGGCATGATGGTGGGTGACCATAATCCCAGCTACTAGGGAGGTGAGGCTGGAGAATCTCTTGAACACAGGAGGAGGATGTTGCAGTCAGCTGAGATCATACCATTGCACTCCAACCTGGGCAACAGAGTGAGACTCCGTCTCAAAACAAAAAACAAAAAGATTTTTTAAAAAAGTGATCATTTCATTGTTATATCCATTATATACAATCATATATGTGAGAGAAAAAGTAAGTTTAGATTTCCTTGTGAAAGCATACACAAAAACTATTTACCTGTAAAAATCATTTGTTTTCCCACAGTAGTAGATGTTGGCTTTTGGTACGATACAGATGCCATGGCTAAAGTCTTAACTGTGCTACTGGATTTTCTTCTTCAGCTTCTTCAAATCAGTTAAGCTGCACAGAAAGAGCAAAAGACTCTGCAGTCCTTCCTCTCCCTGCCTGTGACCTGAACCAGGTGGTTGCTAAGGACTCTTTATGACAGGGAGATAGGATGTTCCTCTTAGCAGAGTTCTGCGTTCCAATCTCCAAGAGCACAGAGATACTGCTATAGCCTTCCCAGAACTTGCATACAGTAGTAACTTTCCTTATTTGTCAATATCAAGTTAGAACACACTTGTTCAGGTACTAGATCCAGTATATGCTTATGTCTCAGATAACGTGGCAGGCTCAATCACCACTGTCTTTCAACATTTCACAAAGAATGTCTTGCAGAAATGTGTTGTAGCAAAAAACAAACAAAAAGCCCCCACAAACCATGGTTAAATATATTCGACAAACACTGGCAAGATAAAATACAGCAAAAAAAAATAACATAAATGAATGAGATAATTACCCACACAAATATATATAGATATATTTTCAGTCTCATATTTCAATTCCTCCTTAAACACTGCTTGTCCTTGGGTCATGCCAATTTACTTGTGGTTCTCAATCTGTGCAATGCTTTTTCATTGTTCTGAACCTTTACACATACAATTTGCTCTTCCTGTAATGTTGCTATGCAAATATTTCTTGTTCTCTGACAGCCAATGTTGCATCTGCTCTTCTAGGAGGATGTCTGCAGGCACAGCTAAGTACTTTCTTCTTCATGTCCCTTTAACCTCTATAGCACTGTGTTTAGACCTATCTTTTTAACTCACTACATTAATTATTTGTCTATTTTATTGACCTCCCCACTAGACTCTGATTTCTAGGAGTTTATAATGAAAGCATACTTATTTATATTTCAATTTCCAGAGACTGGTATGCAATAAATAGTTAATAGATGTTTGTGGGATGAATAAATGTATGAACAGTAATCCTAGCTTGCACAGAAATATATTGACCACCTGATAATCCGTTGAAGATAAATTCTAACAGTAATTTTGTATTCAACACTAAATATATGGAGTTCTCTACTGTAAATGTAATACCTTTTATATGTTGATAATTAAAAGAAAAACACTACATTAACTCTGGAAAGGCTTACAGTAGGCTTATGGTAGGCAAATAGATGTGCTACCCAGGTAGGTTCCCTTTCAAGAAAGGGCTTGTAGCCCAGCTGGAGGAAGGACTGTCAGCAGACAGTATCCAGCTGTCAGCACTTTCAGTGTCTGCTTTAGCTGCAGAGAGCTGCCTCCTCTGCCTGAGGTCAAGCCTTTTCCAGGGCAGCCTGTGTCAGGTGATTGGTATAAAGACCAGTGATTTCTCATCAGGTTGGTCAAAGCTGTGTTGAGCCCTTATCATAGTTCTTCTTCTTCCTCTGATCAATCCTGCTTCCTCTCCTTTCCTTTCACAGGTATTGAACCCAAATTACCACCTTGCCCCCAACTTCAAGAGAACCTGACCTGAGATAACTAGACAGCGTAAGCACATATGCACAAGTGTATTACACAAGAGTGCTTCTCATTTTAACCACTCAACCCTTCTAGCCGGAAACTGAATATATTTCCCCAGTGTGGGCAACTAGAGTCAGTCACTGTTGAGTTACTGATCTTTGCTGTCGCTTTCTTTGGTCCTGACCTGCATTGCACTCTTCTTTACCTCCCTACTGGCCCGCTACAGTTTCAGAAGCTTTCCTACTCTTTCTGTGGTTAATTAATTCTGGTTCCTACAGTCAAGGGCTCTCTATCTCTAGCTGAAAGTATCTTTCTTTGAAAAGTTCCTATTTGTGTCTTTGGAACTACCATTTTCCAAGGTACCCAACTTTGGACATTCCTAGGAGAGAGAAGCCTGCACACATCACTTGTGGTTTTAAGGATGCTGAGAAGAGAAAGGAAGAGGAACCTAAATGAAGAAAATAATTATTTGGTAAACAAGGCAGAAAATAAATGAGATCGGCCAGGCACAGTGGCTCACGCATGTAATCCCAGCACTTTGGGAGGCCGAGGTGGGCAGATCACAAAGTCAGGAGTTCGAGACCAGTCTGGTCAACATGGTGAAACCCCGTCTCTACTAAAATACAAAAATTAGCCGGGCATGGTGGTGTGCACCTGTAATCCCAGCTACTGCTCAGGAGGCTGAGGCAGGAGAATCACCTGAACCCAGGAGGAGGAGTTTGTAGTGAGCTGAGATGGCGCCATTGCACTCCAGCCTGGGTGACAGAGCAAGACTTCATCTCAAAAAGGAAGAAGAAGAAAAAAGAAATGAGATCTTGGTTTTTGTTGGAAGACGTCCCATTAACCCTTCATGGGAAATGTGGGCTTCTGCTTTGCCTTAGAGACTGTTAGAAACTTTAATCTGTTGCAGGCTTAGGGTCAGACATTCTGATGGCAAAGGCTGGAGGGAAGGGAAAATACAAGAGAAGAACCAGATAGTTCTTCTTCACAAAATTATTCCACTAATTCGAGATATATTTAGGTTCATTTGTTTTGTGTCATTTCACTTTTTAGAAATTTAAAATTTTATTTCTCAAGTAACATATTTACATAGTTTCAAAGTAAAATCCTTAAGGGATAGTCAGAGAAGTCTACCTTTTACCCTTGTTTCCTCTTCCTGTTTCCTCCTTTTTCTCTTGCAGGAAACATTTTTAAAAATATAACTACAAGGCATGGCACAGTGGCTTACACCTGTAATCCCGCACTTTGGGAGTTCAAGATGGATGAATTGCTTGAGCCGAGGAGTTTGAAATTAGCCTGGGCAACATGGCAAGACCCCGTCCCTACAAAAATTAGCTGGACACAGTGGTCTGTGCCTATGGTCCCAGCTACTTGGGAGGCTTAGGTGGGAGGATCACTTGAGAACCCAGGACTTTGAGACTACAGGGAGCTGCACTGCAGCCTGGGTGACAGAGTGAGACCTTGTCTCAAAAACAAACACATATATAAACATATATATGGAGGAATTATATATATATGGAATTATATATATATATATAATTATATCTTTACCTTTCCTAAATAAATGGTAACATACTGAACATACTGTCTTTTACCTTGCTTTTTTTCCGCAACAATACATCTGGAGATCACTCCATAGCATTACATAAAGATATTTCTCCCCCTCCCTCTCTCTCTTCTTTAGCTTCAAAATGCATTTACCAGTTTATTCAACCAGCCCACTATTAGTGGTCATTTGGGCAGTTTCCAATTTTTTTGCTATTACAAAAATTGCCACAAAGTGTCATTTTCTGCATACATCTTCTCAGATTTTTTGCAGACATCTTTGGGATAGATTCCTAGAAGTGATATTGCTGGGTCAAAGGAAAAAGACACATGTACTTTTGCTCAGTGTTGCTAACCCTGCACCATCATGGTTATACCATTTTGTATTCTCATCCACGATACCTGAGAATGCCGATTTTTATACAGCCTCACCCACAGACTATGTCATGAAACTTTCTAATGTTTTTCAATATGACAGGTAAGAAATGGTAACAGTAATTTACACCTCTGTTCTTGTTAGTGTGATTGAACATGTTTTCATGTGAGTCAGGGACCTGTGCATTATACACTATGAATTGTCTGGTCTTTATCTCTTTTTCTATCAAGTTATTGACTTTGTTCCATCCTACATTTTTTAAAAATGAGCTAACATTCTAAAGAGACACAGGAGCTAACATTCTAAAGAGACACGTAAACAGAGAATGACGATACAATGCAGTAAGGGTGACGATACTTGTAGTGATACGTTTAGTAAATACCTGATTTCTCGAGTCAGGGGAACAGAGAGGAAGATCACTTGCCCGGAGCTCAGACAGAAGCTGAGGGCTGACGATGCGGTGAGGCAGGGTTTCCTTGAGGAAGCGAGTTTTGAACTGTGTTGTAGATAATGACTAGGATCCAGACAAGGGACAGGGAGCTGGAGGTTGGGGTGGGTGGTGAGGGCATTTGGGGCAAAGGGTACAGCTTGAGCAAAAGGCTGGAGGGGAGAAACAGCCAGCAGCACTGTGCATAGCAAAAATACAAGTTCCGCATTGCTGGAGAGTCAAGACTAAGAGGGTAAGCTGGGAGGGGAGGCTAGAGTTTTACTCTGTAGGCAATGAGGACCCTTGGGGGATTTACGTTTATTTATTTTTATTTATTTATTTGAGGCAGAGCCTAACTGAGTCACCCAGGCTGGAGTGCAGGAGCTCAATCACAGCTCACTACAGCCTTGACCTGGGCTCAGGTGATCCTCCCACCTCAGCCTCCAGAATAGCTGGGACTCCATGAGAGAGGATCTCACTATGTTGTCCAGGCTGGTCTGGAACTCCTGGGCTCAAGCAATCCTCCTGACTCAGGCTCTCAAAATGCTGGGACTACAGGCGTGAGCCACCGTGCCTGGCCCTCTGAAAGATTTTAAATGTGCAGAGACTGGTTGGTATTGCACTTAAATAGAAACCACCTGACTGTGTGGAGAATGGGCTTCAGAAAAGCAAGGAGTCCGGAGCCCAGCAGGTAACTGTTGAAGTGGTCCAGGGGAGAGGAGATGGGGCCTGAACTAAGCCAGGCATGAAGGATACATGTTTGGAGTGTGCATTGAAGAATAAGTATGACCTCCAGTTTTCTAGTTTGGCTGACTCGTGAGTAGTAGCATCCCAAAATAACACAGAGAAAAACAGAAGAAAGAAAACTGAGGCCAATAAATAAATTGATGGCATTAACTAGATGTGGATTTGTACATACTGCACAACAGGCTAATAAAGCAGTTAAAATTAAGCCTAAAGTGTCATAAAATATTGTGACAGCGACTGAACTCATTACTGGGACTAAAAGTAGTCTCCATGGGCCACCAGATGCCTTTTATTAGAGAAAATCCCTATTGTTTATGAATCGATAGTTGCCTCATCTAATGAAACTCAGAGTTTGCTGCTCATTTTGGCTATTGTCTTGCTTCAATAATTTAATAGCTACTTCAGAGTTGATAACCACTTCACCAGTTACAACGGTGGAGGTCAATGCAGTGGCCCTGTAAAAATATCTTGTTTTAGGCCGAGCACGGTGGCTCAAGCCTGTAATCCCAGCACTTTGGGAGGCTGAGGCGGGTGGATCACGAGGTCAAGAGATCGAGACCATCCTGGTCAACATGGTGAAACCCCGTCTCTACTAAAAATACAAAACATTAGCTGGGCATGGTGGCGCGTGCCTGTAATCCCAGCTCTCAGGAGGTTGAGACAGGAGAATTGCCTGAACCCAGGAGGCGGAGGTTGCGGTGAGCCGAGATCGCGCCATTGCACTCCAGCCTGGGTAACAAGAGCGAAACTCCATCTCAAAAAAAAAAAAAAAAAAAAAAATCTTGTTTTAACAGTTTGCAAAATAATCAAGGTATACATTTTAATGATATAAAAGAGATACAAAGTAGAAGCTTTTATCATACAGCAGTGATAGATCTCTAGAGGAACAGAGGTCAGAATATACTACAATTACATAATAACGTTCAAATATCCTATTACTAAGCATACTTCGCCAACTGGGAAGCTTTGCCACTATGTATCAGTGAACCTTTCCTTATACTTTTAAGTACTATGCGCATAGTACTTAAATATACATGGTGCTTAAACGTGTGTGTGTGTGTGTGTATGTGTGTGTGTGTGTACATATATATATATATATATATTTTTTTTTTTCTTTTGAGACAGAGTCTCACTGTTATCCAGGCTGAAGTACAGTAGTGGGACTATAGCTCACTACAGCCTCAAACTGCTGGGCTTAAGAAATTCCCCCAACCTCAGCCTCCAAGTAGCTGAGACTAGAGGTGTGTGCCACCACCGCTGGCTGATTTTTATACATTTTGTAGAAACAAGGTCTCGCTGTTTCCCAGGATTATTTTGAACTCCTGGGCTCAAGCCATCCTCCTACCTCAGCCTCCCTAAGTGCTGGGATTACACTTGTGAGTTACCACACTCAGCCTAGTACCACATATTTTCATGTCTTTTCCATGTATTCTAGGTTCAGGAAATAATCTGGAAAACACACTGAATAAAGCCACAGACTTGGCTTCAAATCCCAGCAACTCTTCTGAGTAACATCGGCAGGTTGCTTTTCTGTGAAATGAGAATCATTGTGCCTACCCATAGGTCAAATGGGATAATGAATGTAAAATGCTTGCCGCAGTGCCTGATACATGGTACGCACTCAATAAATGTCGGCTGTAATATTGGTCTCATCATACCGCCCCTGAATCCTTGCCATCCGCCCCATTCTTCCCTGAAAAAACAGACAACACAAATTTAAACAGCGACCATCATAACTTTACTTTTTGTATTTGAATTTGTAACACTAGCTCACAAAAGAGTCTGTAGTCTTCCTCTGGCCCATTTAACTCTAATTTGGGTAGGATGACGCTGGGAGTATAGTGGTGCTATTCCTGCTGGGCCAGTCAACCCAACTTCCCCCAGTTGTACTTAATTTAATTGGGGATTATACAACATTTAGACTTTTTCTATAGACACATGGTTTTTAAAATTAAATACACGAAGCATTATAATTGCTATCTTCTAATTGCTATACTACACACTTAAAAAACAACAGATAAATCCAGTATTATAGAAACAATAATAGTCATATCTTATAAATGTGTGAGTTGTTACCATTAAAAGCAACCTTATTTATTACTGAGACTGAACCCTTTATTTTTTCCATGAGCTGTCTGACACTGGGAGAGGTTAGTTGAGGAGTTAACCAAAGGTACCAGGGGAATTGGAAGCAGAACCACCACCACAACCAAAAATCCGCAGCACTCCTGACTCTCAGTTTGGAATGCTTTTCTCTCTATTCTGCCTTGTGAAAGAAACTGTCATCTCATTCATGGTGTTGTGGGTATCAAAAGCCCTTGAAGATTGCTCTAGTGTTTTATGTG